TGTGACCCGTTCGGCACGGAAGGATGTGGGTCTACGCGTTCCCTTCAGTGGCATATCCGTAGCACTGAGGGGCAAGTTCCCAAACATCCGGAAGTGCACTCTGGGCGGTTCAGCACGGTCGAAGCCGAGGCAAGGCCAAGGTTGAAGCAATCAGCAACGTCTCTCCAGTCGCCTCGTCCCTCGGAAATGTGTGCTCTGTTGAGGTGCCGGCCCGGCCTCACAGTGTCGAGATGGGTAGTTGTGGGCATCCCTCGGACGTGCCGAGGCTTCTCGTGTGGACCGTTCTGCACGGAAGGATGTGGCGCTAGGTGTTGCCTTAATGGGCATAGCCGTAGCACGAAGGGGCAAGTGTCCAAGCATCCGGAAGTGCACTTTTGGCGGTTGAACATGGTTGAGGCCATGGCGCGGTAGTGGTTGAGGCCATCAGCATCGTCTCTGCAGTCGCCTCGTCCCTCGGAAATGTGTGCTCTGTTGAGGTGCCGGCCTGGCCTCACAGTGCCGAGATGGGTAGTTGTGGGCATCCCTCGGACGTGCCGAGGCTTCTCGTGTGACCCGTTCTGCACGGAAGGATGTGGCGCTAGGTGTTGCTCTAATGGGCATGGCCGTAGCACGAAGGGGCAAGTTTCCAAGCATCCGGAAGTGCACTTTTGGCGGTTGAACATGGTTGAGGCCATGGCGCGTTTGTGGTTGAGGCCATCAGCAACGTGTCCCCTGTTGCCTGTCCCTCGGAAAAGTGTGCGCTGTTGAGGTGCCTGCCTGGCCTCACAGTGCCGAGATGGGTTGTTGCGGATACCTCGGAATTGTCGTGTGTTCATGTGTGGCCTGATCTGCACGGATGGTTTTGGTAATATCTTCAGGCACGAAGGGTCAAGTTCCCAAGCATCCGGAAGTGCACCCTGGGCTGTTCAACACGGTTGGAGCCATGGGGCGGTCGTGGTCGAATCAATCAGCAATGTTTCTCCTGTCGCCTTGTCCCTCGGGAAAGTGTTCTGTTGAGGTGCCGGCCTGGCCTCACAGTGCAGAGTTGGTTTGTTGCGGGGATCCCTCGGAATTGTCGTGGCTTCTACTGTGGCCCGTTCTGCACGGAAGGTTGTGGTGCTCGGTGAACCCTTCATGGGCGTAGCCGCAGCACCATGGGTCAAGTTCCCAATCATCCGGAAGTGCACCCTGGGCTGTTCAACACGGTTGGAGCCATGGGGGGGCGGACGTGGTCGAATCAATCAGCAATGTTTTCCTGTCGCCTTGTCCTCGGAAAAGTGTTCTGTCGAGGTGCGGCCTGGCCTCAAGTTGCAGGGTTGGTTTGTTGCGGGGATCCCTCGGAAATGTCGTTGCTTCTACCGAGGCCGTGTTCACGGAAGGTTGTGGTGCTCGGTGAACCTTCTTGGGCGTATCCGCAGCACCATGCATGGGTCAAGTTCCAAGCATCGGAAGTGCACCCTGGCTGTTCAACACGGTTGAGCCATGGGGCGGTCGTGGTCGAATCAATCAGCAATGTTTCTCCTGTCGCCTTGTCCCTCGGAAAGTGTCTGTTGAGGTGCCGGCCTGGCCTCACAGTGCAGAGTTGGTTTGTTGCGGGGATCCCTCGGAATTGTCGTGCCTTCTACTGTGGCACGTTTGCACGGAGGTTGTGGTGCTCGGTGAACCCTTCATGGGCATATATGCAGAGCACGAAGGGGGTAAGTCCCAAATCTGGTAGTGTGTTGTGGTGGTCCCATGGCGGAAGCGGGGTCTTGATTGTGGCCTCTCAGTGCAGGTTTGGTTAAAGATAAGGGCATGTGACACTGTGTGCTTGTTGGCTTGGACTCTTAGAAGTGTGTTGGGGGGTTGATCTGGCTCACCCTTCAGAGTTTGGAATTCACGCAGTCCATCTCTCTCTTTTCCGAAGAAAGAAATTGGGGCTGTGTGTGTTGTGTGAGAGAAGATGGACGGCGTGATTCCTAAACTCTGAAGGGTGAGCCAGATAAGACCCCCCAACACACTTCTAAGAGTCAAAAGCCAACACGCAACACAGTGACATGCCCTTATCTTAACCAAACATGCACTGAGAGGCCACAATCAAGACCCTCGCTTCCGCCATGGGAACCACCCACAACACACTACAAGATTATGGGACTTACGCCCCTTCGTGCTCTGATATTCCAATGAAGGGTCACGCACACAACCTTCCGTGCAGAACGTTGCCCAGTAGAAGGCACGACAATTCGAGGGATCCCCCGCAACAACCAATCTGCACTGTGAGGCCAGGGCGGCACCTCAACAGAACACTTTCCCGAGGACAAGGCGACAGAGAAGAGAAACATTGCTGATTGATTCGACCACGACCGCCCCATGGCTCCAACCGGTTGAACAGCCCAGGGTGCACTTCGGATGCTTGGGAACTTGCCCATGATGGTGCTGCGGATACGCCCAAGAAGGGTCACCGAGCACCACACCTTCCGTGAACAACGGGCCCCGGTAGAAGCAACGACAATCCGAGGGATCCCCGCAACAACCAACCCTG